GTAGAGATTCTGACGTGCAAATCGATACTCTGGTGGAGGCTCGTAGAGATTCTGACGTGCAAACCATCTAGTAAATCGATATAGGGGCGAAAGACTAGGGGCAAAGATCAGTTTTATGAGGTATTCCGAGGTAAAGCGAATGATTAGAGGAGCAGAAACTCTATTCTCAAACTTAAATATGTAAAATATGTAAGACGCCCATTGGACGTGGGCCATCGCTTAATTGGACGTGGGCCATACGGTAAGCAGAACTGGCGATGCGGGATGAACCGAACGTGAGGTTAAGGTGCCGGAATGTACGCTCATCAGACACCAGCAAAGGTGTTAGTTCATCTAGACAGCAGGACGGTGGCCATGGAAGTCGGAATCCGCTAAGGAGTGTGTAACAACTCACCTGCCGAATGAACTAGCCCTGAAAATGGATGGCGCTTAAGCGTACTACCCATACCTCACCGTCTGGGTTATGTAATAATTGAGAAGCTCAGACGAGTAGGCGGGCGTGGAGGTTTGTGACGAAGCCTTGGGCGTGAGCCTGGGTCGAACAGCCTCTAGTGCAGATCTTGGTGGAAGTAGCAAATATTCAAATGAGAACTTTGAAGACTGAAGTGGGGAAAGGTTCCATGGGAACAGCAGTTGGCCATGGGTTAGTCGATCCTAAGAGATAGGGAAGCTCCGTATGAAAGTTGCACGATTTTCGTGCCTCCTATCGAAAGGGATCCGGTTAATATTCCGGAACCAGAAGGTGGAATCAACACGGCACGTAAATGAAGTTGGAGACGTCGGCAGGAGCCCTGGGAAGAGTTCTCTTTCTTTTAACAAACCACGAACTTACCCTGAAATCGGTTATCCGGAGCTAGGGTATGGTGTTTGGAAGAGTTCAGCGCCTCATGCTGGATCCGGTGCGCTCTTGACGACCCTTGAAATCCAACGGAAGAATGGGGGTTTCGGCTCCTCTTGTTTTCACATCTGGTCGTACTCATAACCGCAGCAGGTCTCCAAGGTGAACAGCCTCTAGTTGATAGAACAATGTAGATAAGGGAGTCGGCAAAATGGATCCGTAACTTCGGGATAAGGATTGGCTCTAAGGGTTGGTACGTTGAACAGTTGCTGGTCCGGATTCGGCGGACTGGATGTTTTGCCTTTCGGGGTAGAGGGGTAGAGACGGCTGGCTGGAGGCTGGACCTTGGCTTTTCCTGGTAAGGCTGCTCTCTTCCACGGGGGTATGCCCTTACTGGCGTACAATTAACAACCAACTTAGAACTGGTACGGACAAGGGGAATCTGACTGTCTAATTAAAACATAGCATTGCGATGGCCAGGTGTTGACGCAATGTGATTTCTTGTCTGCCCAGTGCTGTCAAAGTGAAGAATTCAACCAGCGCGGGTAAACGGCGGGAGTAACTATGCTCTCTTAAGGTAGCCAAATGCCTCGTCATCTAACTAGTGACGCGCATGAATGGATTAACGAGATTCCCACTGTCCCTATCTACTATCTAGCGAACCACAGCCAGGGGAACGGGCCTGGAAAATCAGCGGGGAAGAAGACCCTGTTGAGCTTGACTCTAGTTTACATTGTGAAGAGACATAGAGGGTGTAGGATAAGTGGGAGTGTAGGGACCTCTCTGCACGCCGGTGAAATACCACTACCTTTATCGTTTCTTTACTTAATCAATGAAGCGGAATTGGGATTAGTTCCCACATTCTAGCCTTAAGGTTCCTTGCGAACTGATCCGCGTTGATGACATTGTCAGGTGGGGATTTGGCTGGGGCGGCACATCTAGTTAAAAGTGTCCTAAGGGGGGCGTCATCGAGGCTCATCGAGAACAGAAAAAGGGTAAAGCCCCTTGATTTTGATTTTCAGTGTGAATACAACCATGAAAGTGTGGCCTATCGATCCTTGTTGCCTCGAAATTTGAGGACAGAGGTGCCAGAAAGTTACCACAGGGATAACTGGCTTGTGGCAGCCAAGCGTTCATAGCGACGTTGCTTTTGATTCTTCGATGTCGGCTCTTCCTATCATACCGAAGCAGAATTCGGTAAGCGTTGGATTGTCACCCATAATAGGGAACGTGAGCTGGGTTTAGACCGTCGTGAGACAGGTTAGTTTACCTACTGATGAAGTGTCGTCGCAATGGTAATCAACTTAGTACGAGAGGAACCGTTGATTCAGATCATTGGTATTGCGGCTGCCTGACAAGGCAATGCCGCGGAGCTATCATCTGCTGGATAAGGCTGAACGCCTCTAAGCCCGAATCCATGCCAGAAAGCGACGATTTGTTGGTCCGCATAATTATGTGTATACAAATAGAGTTTTTACTGCATCATAGAAGATGGCGTCGGTTGATAAGACGGAAGTGTCTTGTTGACTTGTCCATGAAATTCCATTGAAACTTGTGCGGAGTCGAATCCATTGCATACGACTTTAATGTGGAACGGGTATTGTAAGCAGTAGAGTAGCCTTGTTGTACGATCTGCTGAGATTAAGCCTTTGTTCCCAAGATTTGTTCCATAAGGAACACATCATCCTCTTTATTTTATTTATCTCTTATACCACTTTTTCTAGTAGGCATTTTCTTTAATGACTTGCTATTTCAAAGTGGTGTTGGAGGTATATATATATATTTCTAGTTAGTTAATAGTAGAGTTAGAATTAGAATAGAAGAAGGAAGGAAGGAAGGAAGGAAGAAAGAAGAAGAAGAAGGAGGAGGAGGAAGAAGAAGGGGGAGAAGAAGAAGAAGAAGAAAGCAAGTGGCGGTGTTGCGGTTCGCATAGAGCGCGCGAAAATTTTTTTAGGAACTTGGATTCGAGTCGCTTTGAGTCGCTTTTTTTTGATTTTTCCTGACCCAGGGAGTAATGAAAAAAAACAAAAGTGTATTCGTTTCAGTTGGTGGTAGTAGTGGTGGTAGTAGTAATAGTAATCGTAGTTGTAGTTGTAAGTTAGTGTAGTTGTAGTTGTAAGTAATTCGTTGGCCAACCCTCTTGTCATACATAGTTTGCCGTAGTTGAGTTTGCCCAAACGCAAAACGCAAAACGCAAAACGTAAAACGCAAAACGTAAAACGCTCTAATTGGGAAATCAACCCTAACCTAAACCTAACTTGACCTAGCAGCAGCAAGGTAGCTAGTAGCTAGTTAGGTCCGGTGGTCCGGTCATTGATTCTAAAATTCGACAAGATAGGATAGAATAAAATTATTCGACAAGATAGGATAGAATAAATGAAATGAAATAAAATCAAGAGACAAGTGTTAACGCGCCGGAACGCACTGTTGTAGAAAAATGCCAGACATCATGTATGAGTTGGTAAAATGGATACAAGGACACCGAAAATGAGGATGGTAAAATGGATACAAGGACACCGAAAATGAATAAATAGACATAGGAATTTCAATACAAATTAGAATTAGAAAAAAATAAAAGATAAATAAAAATATAGCACTTAAATAAAAATATAGGCTAGGTTAGGTTAGGTTAGGTTTGGATGCAAGCAAAACAAAAAATTTCAAAAAGTCCATGGACGACGGATGGGTGATGACGGACGAATACTTGAAATTGAATGCAACAAACGTGGTAGATAAGATAAGATATGATATGATATGATGGCAAACAGCAGGGCTTGTTTATATAAGAACTTGAATCAAACTCGATTCTTCTATATGCTATTATTTAACAGGAATGAATATACTATGCTATATATTCCATCAAACAACACCCAACATAAATAATCAAGTAATAAATAAATAGATAACTAGATAAATAAATAAATAAATAGAAAGAAAACAAAAATGCTTGCTTTGACAATATCCTTCCACTATGAAGCCAAGGTTCCAATTAGTAACATCTTGTACGTTTCCCCTTTTCTTTTCAAGTCTCATCTGGGTTCCAATGGTTACTTTTAGGTTGGTTTTTTTTGGGGGGTTTTGGGTGATGGTGATGGTCAGGGTTGATCCAAAGGAAAGGAAAGGAAAATCCGGAGAAAATTCAGGATTCAACATTGGGTAATGCCGTATGGTTACAAAAGAGTGTAAATGGGTTTGGTTATAGGTTTTGTTGGATTTGGGTCCTTTTGCGGTTGGAATGGAGAAAGACCCATCTGAAGAGTAAGAAAAGGGAGAAACAACAAGGAATGGAAATGGAATTTAAAAAACCCAAAACATCAAAGAGGTCAGGCAAGCATGTTGGGGACAAGCAATCGAGTAGAAAAAAAAAAAAAAAAGAAAAAGACAAGAGGACAAGTGGTCGTGATATATATACGGAAACGGAAGCCAATGAGAGGATTAGAAAATAAATAGAAAACAAATAGTCCGACGTATGATGTCTTGCGGTAACCAAAGAGAAACATGAAATTTTCCAAGGAACAAGGTAACGGATAGGTCGGGAATTCGCAGAGGTGGCTGGCATTCGGAAGCAAATAGGGAACAATAGGAAACAAAGTAGCGGAAAAAGAAACCCGAGGAAAGCAAGTAACGGAAAAGAAAAAGCAAACATACGTGGCTGGCTTTGTTACTCTGCAAAACACAACAAAACAAGCAAACAAAACAAGCAATCGGAAAAAAAAAGAACGAAAAAAAAAAAAGACGAAAGAACAAAAGAACCAAAAAAGCAAGGCAGGAAAAATAAAAATGTCAAAGAAGAAGAATCCTGACCAAAAAAAGCTTAGAAAAGGTGGTGTATGCAAAGGAGGGATTTCCAACGATATAGTAGAATCTTGAGAAACAGGGTTAAACAATAAAAAAATAAATTTCAATATTTCTTTTTGTAATTCTTGAGTCTCAAGCGCCTGGATAGAAACAACAGCAAACAATGTGTCCTCAAAGGGAAGGAGTAGGCACATTCCGGGAGGGAGTGTGAAAAAAAGGGGAAAAATGAAGGTTTGAGCGGAAAACAAAAAAATAAAATATATAATTAAAAGAAAAGATTTTGAAATGGGTGGAAATCGAGAAATGGGAGGGTCGATATTGAGTTGGTCAAGGTAGTAGCTAGTGACTAGCAAAGATGATAGAA